ACAATCCTCAACATAGCCCGTTTCTTTGTGCTTCTTCAAAAGATCTTGGGTAGCACATCTAGAAACCCCTGCCTTGTGTCTTGTTGCTGTGCTCCGGCTTGCCATGGTCGCTGATTTTGACAGTAAACTGTCTTCAGCAACCTCATCTTATTACAGTGAGGGAAAAAACTATTTGATCACCTGCTGATTTGTCCACTGACAAAGAAATTATAATTTTATTGGTTTTAATGGATTGTAGACCTACACAAGGCTGGAAAGGGCTGCAAGACCATCGCTAAGCAGCTTGGTGAGAAGGTGACAACAGTTGGTGTGATTATTCGCAAATGGAAGAAACACAAAACAACTGTCAGTCTCCCTCGGTGTGGGGCTCCATGCAAGATCTCACCTCGTGGAGTTGCAATGATCATGAGAACGGTGAGGAATTAGCCCAGAACTACACAGAAGGATCTTGTCAGTGATCTCAAAACCTTAATGATTTGGAGAAGATCTGCAAAGAGGAGTGGGATAACATCCCTCCTGAGATGTGTGCATAGCTGGTGGCCAACTACAAAAAACGTCTGACCTCTGTGATTGCCAACAGTGGTTTTGCCACCAAGTACTAAGTAATGTTTTGCAGAGGGGTCAAATAATTATTTCACTCATTAAAAATCAAATCAATTTATAACATTGTTGACATGCGTTTGTCAGAATTTTTTGTTGTTATTCTGTTTCTCACTGTAGAAATAAACCTACCATTAAAATTATAGACTGATTACTTTGTCAGTGGGCAAATGTACAAAATCAGCAGGGGATCAAATATTTTTTCCCCCTCACTGTAGCTGCGTTTGGCTGTTCCTCACTCAGCTGTATTCCTTCTACACAGCAGTTTCTGTCAGTTTATGATTGTGTTTCAACCTACATATTGAATTGGTGATCATTAGCACCTGTTTGGTATAAAACTAACTAACCTAAAACTTATGCACAGTACTGTAGCTTCCTCTCAGGAGTAACTGAACAGCTTTGGGAAGAGGTTTTAACATGTAAGCCTAAGATCTGTTATCAGCAGCACCAGTATGTTATTAATGGGTTGGAGACCACCAGTTGGTATTTTGTGAATGATCCATCTAACAAAGCGTACACAAACATCCATCCTGCATTGCATCACGTACTCTCTTAACTCGTAAACATAATATTTTCATTTGCCAAAGCACTTTGTGTGTGAGAGAGAAACAGCGACTGAGAGCAGAGGGAGTTATTACAGTGATTGTGGGATTATGCTGCTTTTTCAGCTGTTGTTTTTCAGGACTTCTGTATCAGGCTGCGGCCTCATCTGCAGGACCTGCTGCTGTGTATTACAACTCTGATCTGATCTGCCTGCCAGATGATTGAGCGACATTAAATCCTTGGTAAGTGCTGGAGCAGGACCAGAGTCAGGAGGAGGGGTTGAATGGTGGGAGAGAGATATGCTCAGGCTGGCTGCAGACTGGCAGGGGTCACGGTGATGGCTATAGATGGAAACTGAGTATGAAGTGACCTCTTTCTTTCTTTCTTTCACTAAAAAATATAGACTGTCTCAAAGGGTTATTTCCAAAAAGATGAACATAAAACTAAAGCAGCCCTGATCTTTGCTGAACTGGATGTGATCTGTTTGTTTGAAGCAACTTCATACAATTCAGTGGTTTACAACATTAACAGTCAAATCAAATTACCGCCAACTCCTAGGCTGCTGCGACAGCAGATGCACCACCTCGCCGAGCACTGAATACATCTATACCCCTCACATTTGAAAAACAAGTCAGTTTGAGGCAAGGTTTCTGACAGGTGAAGGCTGTTATAGGTTAAGAAAGACACAGAAGATTTATGTTTTAGCCTTGACATTTGATCTGCTGTGACCTTGTTTCAGATTTCTTTCACTTCTTTTGATTCTGATGTGGGCCAACGAGGTAATTAGATAATCAAAGCCTTGAGGGTCTAGTTTAACAGCACAATCGCAAAGACCAGTGCAGAGCGAGGTCAAGGAGGACAAATCCAAGAGCAGATTGCACTTATTGATAAATAGTGAGATAAAGGTAAACAGAACAAAGGGAGAACGATCTAAAGTATGTGTTCTTTATCCACATAAAGAGGCGACATTATTATGTGGGGAACAGTCCAGCAAAGTGAGCCTGAGCATGTATTCAAAAGGACAGTGAGTTGTTTGGGGGTTGACAGGGAAACCACTGTGCTGCTGAGGATATTAGTCTGTTGAAACTCAAGTGTATAAATTGTGGTGCCATCAACCTTGGAGACAACATCTTGAAGTACAGAAAAATCAGATCTGCTGAAGGCATGTGAGGTACAGACTATGTCTAGTGCCAGGTCTGACGCACAAGTCTCTTAATATCTCCTCTAAAACCACATGCAGCTTAAACATCAATGATGTGAGGACTAATGATGAATGAAACATGACAACTGTGACCTCAGTGAGGGTTAATACCAGAGCTGTGGCCACCCAGCCTCCGTGGTACATTCAGATCTTCCACAGAGGACTGGGGATCACAGGGAATAGACTTGCAATCTATGATTCAGTCTCTCCATCAAAACAGATGTATCCATCTCTGCCTCCAGTGGTGGAAAGTCTTTCATTCAATCCATACGCCAGGTCTTTTAGCTGTCTGGCTGGAACGCATGGCTTATAAGAGGGATTCGCAGTGCGGCCAGTAAAAGCTTCACACAGATTCCACCCCACCAGCACATGGCCTCTGAGACTGTTAGAGAAGTGATTCGGATCAATGTCCCGCTTTGACGAATGACACTCGTCTGACACGTGTCCAATACCAAAGTGCTGTGACACAACGTGATTGCTCTGAAAAAACAAACAAAAAAACGGTATCTTATGCTGCCAGAGCAGCTGCTGTAAGTTGCTGTTGCCTTGTGGATTTTGTACTGATGGCAATGTCTGTCAGTGTGTTGGTGCTATTCTGAAAATAGTGAGAAATGTCATCCCAGTTGTCACACAAAAAATTACCTAAACGATAAAAACTGCCAATTTTAATTAATTCAACCGACTAATCGTTTCAGCCACATAAACTGTTGGGTAGTTTACTTCATAGGAAAACATCATATTTTATAAAAAAAAGCTGAATTTGTAATGTCACTAAAGCTGTTAGATATAGAAGTAAAAAGTACAATATTTACCTCTAAGATGTGGTGGAGTAGAAGTAGAAAGTGGCATGAACAGAAAATACTCAAGTAAAGTACAGGTACCTCAAATTTGAACTTAAATGAGTAAATATAATTAGTTACCGTCCCCCACTGGTCAAGACTTAAATATTTCAAAAACTGGTGGATGGATTAACGTTAAATTTCGTGCAACCATTCATGGTCCACAGACAGGGTGCAGCCAACAACCTGCAAATGCTGACAAAATATGCAAATGAATGGTAGATTTATTTCAGTCACCAGCTAAGAAAAGAATCAATTGAGCGGCTGGTACACATTTTAGCCATGTGGCTGGTGGACAAAAAAGTAAATTTTGCATCCTGTCTAAATACGAATCCTACCGACTATGGTGATGCCTTAGATTTTTGGCTAAATACTTTATGTACTTTGTGTTTAGTGCTAATTACCAAACATTAACATGCTAACATATACTAAACTAAGATGGTGAACATTGAAAATATTATTATCTGCTTAACATCAGCATGTTATCATTGTCATTTTGAGCATTACAGCTGAAATGAGCAGTCCATTAATCAATTAGTCAATCAAAAGAAAATTATTCAGCAACTCTTTTGATAAACAATTAATTATTTAAGTAATTTTTAAGGAAAAAAGCTTCTATACATGAATATGTCCTCTTTTTTCCTTAATGTTCTATGATAGTAAACTGAATATATTAGGATTTTGCACTGTTGGTCAGACAAAACAAGAACTTTTCAAGATGTCCCCGTGGCCTATTTTTCAAAATTGGCTGACAGTATATAGACAAAACAGTTCATTGAAAAAATAATCTGAAGATTTATCAAAAACAAAAATAATACTTTACGATCCAAAACCGATGAGCTTATAGAGGGCCTACAACGGGTTCCACAGAGACACCACAGACTACATAATAAATATTATGTAACACGTACGTTTTAGATGAGACTGAAGACTTTTAATTCTGGCGTAGGACTGGCATTAACAGTTTAAATTCACACTGTGGCCACAGTGAAACAGCAGGTGTCTGCATAATCACCATGCTGCCTCCAACATGCGCACACACTGATGGGCCGCAGAGCTACATCTGTCATATGTATAAAAGAGAAAGCTCAACGTCCCAGAGACCCATTTATTATACAACAAAGTTGCTTAACAAAAAGTTGCTTAACAATCACGCAGAATGGTGATCAGCCAATAAATAATAATTACCATGTTTATGTAAAGACGCATTGTATTGGCACTCAGTCAATCTGACAGACCCGAGCACAAATCATATGTGAATTCAGGGCGCGCGCACATGGGCTACTTAACTCCCACGCAGCAGCTTTGTGTTGAAGAGCATGAACAGACCAGTGTTATCCAAAATAACAGATCGCAGTACGGCCATATCAAAAAACCCTGCCGATTCACTAGACGCTAATGTATAAGGTCACAACGTCAGAGACACACAAACTGTGACATTACAGCACAAAATTTAAAGCTAAAGATTCGTTTGCCTTTATTATGTCAGAATATTCAGCTCCGAATGGTATCCTCACTGTGCAGCCAGCCATTAACTAAATTCTTGTCTATGGGTGGTTGTACACATATCCTCTCCATAGCAGCCATAGCCTCTGTGCTACCTAAACATGTCTCAAAACAACATAAATCCTCTAATTAACACAGTAAATATTACTCTAGATGGACACAGAAGTACCTCTTGCACAATTATCTACAGTATGTGGATGTAAAACATACCCGGCACACAAACACTTCTGCCACATTCATACATGCATAACGTGCTCTACTTGTGCCCGGGAGAGTTCTTCAGTCAATAACAATGTTCAACACCTTAAAAGCCTTTTTATGACACACGTTCCTTTTGAATTTTATTTATTTAATGACATTCAACAGTAGATTTATCAGAATAAATAAAGAAAACAAGACAAGACACAGAATCTCTCAAACAATGTCACTTAAAACAGTTAGAAACTGTATTGCTGTTGTTGGCAGCAACTGTTGTGTGTTTTAGTCATATGTTGTAGCTAGGCTGCAGACGAAGGCCAGAGAGCCTGAAGACAAAAGTTTAGAAGAAATGCATTTGTGTGAGTTATTCTTGTTTACAGTGGAATCTAGTGTGTGTTTGTTTAATCAGTTGTCTGAGAGATGGTGGTCTGAAAGGCGAAGGTGATGTGGTTTCGTGCGTGATCAAGGTAGGGGTCTGAGAAGGTGTGTGTGTCACCAGAGAAGTGTCTCCACTGCATCAGCTCAGACATGCTGAGATGCTTCTGCAACGACCCCCCACGTTCACCCTGACGACCAAGCTGGCACGGCCTGTCAGAAACCTTCTCCTCGTCCTCTACGGCAGCTGAGAATTCATAAAAAAACTGAGTTAGAGAGTCTCACTTTAGTCAAATACTGGAGTCAGTGTGTGGGTTGTCGCCTGTGTGCCTACCCTGGATTGAACCGTCCATGCTGCAGCTGCAGTTCAGCAAGTCGTGTGTTAGAGAGAGCGTGTCTGTCAGGCTAAAGAGATCTCGCAGGTCACTGGTGGAGAAGCTGGTGTGCTCCGCCCCTTTGCCCAGGTCAACCACCGTCCCCGAAAGCCCCTGTTTGGACACCTGTCTCTGGAATATACGCTCCTCAATAGTGCCTGTGAGGAAGCAACACACACCCAGACATAAAACTTTAAACATACTTGTCTGGTTCATTGTATGTTCATTTTGTGCGTGCGTTTGTTTAATCTGACCTGCAGTAAGGAGACGATAGATGTGCACTGTCTTCTTCTGTCCATCTCTCCATACTCGAGCCATTGCCTAGACAAAGTAGAGACCAGAGAAGTTGCAGGGGAATTACACACATGTACACAGCACCATCTGGTGGTTGTGAATGTATATGACTGTGATACAGTCTGAGGGCGCTTTCACACCTGAAGGTCGGTTCATTTGGTGCAGATGAAGAAAAACAAACAAAGAGCTGTGAGCATAGAGCCACATGGACTGACAGGTAATTCATTCATTGAACAGTTTTAGTGAGGTCATCCTGTGTCATCAGCAGCTGTAAGTAGGAAAATCTGGTGACAAACAGCAAATGACGTCACACTCTTAAACCCTATGTGTATATTTATGTTCGCTGGTGTCACAAAAATCTCACAAAAAGATAATAACGAGCATAATTTGTTGAGACTGCAACTCAACCTTCTAAATAGTGATGACCAGGTTAGGTCCAAAAAAGAGACACAAAAGAGGCGTCTTTTACTGTAATATTACTGGTGATACGTTTCACTCACTTTTCAATAAGGAACCACCAAAAGACACGGATACAACACACCTTTATTTAACTCCTATTGACTTTCTGATTTGTGCTGTGTGATGGAATTGCACATTTTCGAGTGGCCTTTTATTGTGGCCAGCCTAAGGCACACCTGTGCAATACCCATGCTGTCTGATCAGCATCTTGATATGCCACACTTGTGGTGGATGGATTATCTTGGCAAAGGAAAAGTGCTCACTAACACAGATTTTGACTGATTTGTGAACACTATTTTAGAGAAACAGGCCTTTTGTGTACATAGAGAAAGTCTTAGATCTTTGAGTTCAGTTCATGATGAATGGGGCCAAAAAAGTGTTGCGTTTATAATTTTGTTCAGTGTATGTACTTACCAAAGATTTACATACATATATACAGTATGTTATACTATTGTTTCTTTAATAGCTCACATCTAGTAGATAATTTAATAGTTGTTTAGCTTTGGAATTCATGCTAAAATCACATCTACTATCATAAAGACCTTGTGATGTGTGCTTTCACACCGCAATCAAACTGCACCAGAGTTCACCTGGAAGTGGATCTAAACCCTCTTTTTCAGGCAGACTCTGTCAGCTTGTTTAGAGTTCGACTGAAAGCTTTCACACCAACATGAATGAATATGTGTGGTTACCCAGGAGAGAAGAGATCAAAAACAGCCGGTTAAGTCAAATAAAGTGTTACAGATTTTGTCAGACTTTGTCTGCATGTCTTACCTGAATGTCATTTGCTGGGTTCCAGTCAATATCATACAGCACCAGGTGGGACGCACCCACCAGATTAAGCCCCACTCCACCTGCTTTGGAGCTGAGCAGAAACAGGAAGTTCTTAGAGTAGGGGCTGTTAAAACTGTCAACCAGCCGCTGTCTCTGGCTGGTGGGGGTCTGTCCGTCAAGTCGGCAGAAGGTGTAGCCCATGTGTACACACAAGTCCTGGAGCAAGTCAAGTGTCTTAGTATAGTTGGACACTACGACCACCCTGCCGGGGCACACATACTCTGTCAGTTTATAGGGACAAAAATACATACGTGCAAATGCAAACACCCACACCCACACCCACACCCACACCCACACCCACACCCACACACCCACCCACACACCCACACACCTGTCTGAAGGGCTGAGTTGTCTGATGGCAGTCAGCATGTCCGAGAGAACCAGGAGTTTTCCAGAGTCAGCGCTGTTGAGTCCACCTGAAGAGTAAGATTCTGGGAAGAGATCTACCAGGCCCTCGTATAAAGAGCTCTCAACTGAACTGTCTGTTCTTTCCTAAAAAACATAACAGAACTCACAGTGAGCCAAATCTCCAAGCACTAACATAATACAGAGGGACTACTTTGACCACAGTTCAATAAATACCTTGAGTGACATAAGTCAATCAAATAAGATCAATATGTTAGACTACTGGCTCTAGGATGATGCAGGATTCACTCTCCTGCAGACTGATAAAGAAGTTAACCTTGACAATGGAGTAGAGCAGACCAGGGTGGTTGCAGAGCTTCTTCAGGGCAGTGATGCACGCCAGGTGTGTGTGAGTTTGCATGGAGCCCTGAAGGCAGGCTCTGAAGACTCTGTGGCAGAGGAGACGCTTGTATAGCTCTCGCTGCAGAGGGGACGGGTCGCAGAACAATGTCCAGTCGAGACGGGGAGGCAGGTAGCAGTTGATGATCTCCTGAGTCCGTCTGAGGATGAACATACCAGTCAGGCGAGAGAGCTCTGCTGCTCGCTCCTCTCCCAAAACTCTCTCCTCCTGTTGGCAGATACAGAGACAGATATGATGGCAGGGTTCATGCCAGATAAAGTTGTCCATACATGTCAAAAAGACTACATAAGAGAGTAGCATTACGTCTGTGCAGGAGGGCTGTCTGGAGCGTAGAATGGGCTCCTCGTACACTTTCCTATATGCAGTGGTTGACCCGAGAATCCCCGGGTTAACAAACTCTATAATAGCAAAGAACTCCTGCAGGTCGTTCTGTACTGGGGTGCCTTCAAAAGAAAAAGACAATTTGTTATAAAACCTTTAACAAGAAGTTTAAGATATCAGTCAGAAACTCCCTAAAGTGTGTACCTGTTAGTATGACTCTGCGGTTACAGCTCAGGCTACTGAGGGCTGAGGACGTTTTGATGCTGCTGTTCTTTAATCTGTGGCCCTCGTCACAAATTATAAGACCGAACTCCACTCTCTGGACCTAAAAACACAAGAAAATAACAGCAACTACATGAAAACATGATATAAGCTGATTTGTATGTGTAACATGCACATTTGACAGCGAGACACAGGGTGAACATACCTGCTCCAGGCAGCGCAGCAGCATTTCGTAGCTGATCACAAGAACGCTGTGCAGAGGGGATAACACAAACTGTTCTATCCTGTGCTCCTACACATGTCAACAAAGACTGTATATTAATGACTTAATACTTGATTAAGGTAAAATAAGTAAATTAAATGCAAAGTGGAAGAAAGGAGAACACAACAAAAGCACAGAGGGACAAAATGGCAGGTTTAAAATAATGTATTTTCAAAAGAGTTTTAACTAAAATTAATAAAGATACTGTAAGATACTGATACACTGTAATAGAGTGTCAGGTCCTGAACAGTATCTTTGTGTGAGAATCTTTCTTAAGAATCTTGCATATTGTTGTATGTATTTCTGTTGATTTCTGTGTCTATGGTTTGTGTCTGTGGGTACATATGGGTTCTTTACTGTCTTCAGGGTCTTTTTGTATTTAATTATTATTTTTATTTTTTACTATTATCATTTATTATATTCTTTTGTTACATGTTGCTTGTTGCAGAATTATCTTAAATGTAAATAAATTGAACCAGAAACCCCTGATCTAATAGAAATCCTTCTACTTGTGCTGCCATCATGCTGCTTGAAATCTTTGTAAATCCAAAAGAAAGAATTTCTCCTTCTCCCCTCACCTGACCCACGGTAAAAACGCTGATCCGCTCACGGCCCAGCCACTTGTTAAACTCTGCACCCCAGTTCTGCACAAGGCTGCCGGGGGTGACCACAAGGATGCGCTTAGCGACTGGTTTCCCACCGTACGGTCCTTGTTTAAGCAACGTCCAGGACAGTGCCACGCTCTGGAGGGTCTTACCCAGGCCCATCTCATCAGCCAGAATAGCCCCATAGCGACCCACAGCTCTGAAGTACACACAATGAAACACATCAATATGATCCATTAGGAACTGATTAATTTCTTTAAACAGCATATGACAACATAGTATAGGAGCAGCTCTGTTACCTCATGCCCATGACACACTCATAGAGAAAGAGCAGGCCGTCTCTCTGGTGGGGTCGCAGGTGAGTGGTCAGGTATGGGTCAACAACAACATCAACCATAGGAAGCCCCGACTTGTTATTAGACCACTGGTGGTTAGGAGAGGGACGAGGCATCACCAGTGCACCTGCAAAAGACCCAGAGGCCCTGATTATGGATATACACAATGTTTGTACATGAAAAATTGTGAAAAAACAATACTTGAAACAAACCTACAGATGCCTAAAAATGCAAAAAAGAAATTCATAAACACAACACATTTTGAATACATCGCATTTTATAATACATGCACAAGCAAAGCTACTGACTTTTTTTTATTGAGAATGACCTCATTCTGATAAATAAACCGATCCAGTCTACATACCTGGAGCCAGTGGGTCATGGCGAGGTCTGCAGGTTTCTTCCTCCTCTGCTTTGGATCCTGGATGATCTGCTCTCCCCAACATTGTTGGGGGACAGAAAGGTTTGGACCCCAGGTGCTGAGAGGACAGTAGGGCCGACTTTGTGTGTGGCCCCTCTTTCTCTACTTGGACCTCTTGGAAACAACGTCCCCTGGCGAAGTCCTCCGCAGAAATGACTCCCATCACCTCCACCTCCTTCCCTCCAATCATCAGGGTCTCTCCCTCGGACAGGGACGCCAGCTCAGACACTTTGTAGCCACTTCCTACGTAGAAACATGCACCCAGTGAACTCATGGCCGTGTAGATTGGGATAAATTATCTCAATTATCTGGTATTGCTGTGCTATTTTCAATGTTTTGCTACGCTGTGCGCTCCCTGCTCGGCATAAAATGGCAGACAGACAAAGTTAACATCTAGCTGGTGAACATAGTGTAACAGTCAACGGCTAAAGAGTCAGATATTTCCTTCAGGAGTTGGTGGAGACCGAAAAAAGAGCTAAATGGAGTGTGAACATTTGTCAGAGGGACAGAAACACAACTCTAAATGATTGCCAATTTTTTCTTCTCTGTGTCTGCTCGATGAGTTTGAAGATGTTCTCTATATCCGCTTAAAAGGTTATGTCGGTGTTGTGTTCATAGCTTGTTTCTGCTGCCCCAAAAGACAAGATTAAGAAAAATGTTAAACACTGAAATACTTCAAATATATTTACCCATTTTGCATTTCATAATAGTACACACTATAAATGACGCAACACAGTAAATACAATCAGTTGCTTAAGTACAAAAGAGATTTTGAAGGTTAAGCTTAAAGAACAATTTGACTCCACACTTGTCGATGTGCTTTCACACCTAACACTGAATTTTGGACCTTGCCGCAGGTGTTAACAAGTGTACTCAAGGTGTAGTCACTGAACCCAAACATCACTGTCGGGTGTGGTGCAACACAGCACACTTCAGATCAGAGGGGGCACAGTATTCATGTTTCCTACCAGAAGACATGTATTATATTTATGTTAATGCTTTGCTTAACTATCACAGGTAACCCACCAGATTAAAACTTGACAATAAATTAAAAACAAAATGTAGTTTGGGGCATCTGTCTCACCCTTGCCAATATCCTTCCCCTCCATATCTTTCAATGTGGCTGTGCGCCCTCTTGTAACCAGAACTGCATCGCCCTCCCAGCGCTTGTGTTTCTTCTTACTGGCCTTACACCACATCACACTGAGGTAACGCACTCCATCCTGACTGCCGCCGGAGTCTGAGCCTGCAACTCCAGAAACACAGGCTGACCCGGGAGTCACCTGAGGGAAACCGTTCACTCCTGTAAAACAAGGACATACAACACAGAGAAAAACCAACAGATGTTATACACACACAACCCACCAGCAGAGGTCCCTGTTGCACCAAGTGTACACATCATAGTAGACCTCCATGACATGACAGTGTTGGCCATCATGTGTTCTTTTACGTTTAATGTTGGTTACAATAATAAGATATATAATTACAGACAACCCAATTAAGAAAGTAAAAAGGTCTTCCTCGGAGAGTCTGAAATTATGACAGCGGATGTCCGTTTAACTTGTGAAAAACACAAGACCAGTAAAACATTAACCTTACTTTCTTTAATACAAATAACTGAACATATGGACAAACTGCAAAAGAAACTGACAACACTCGTATACCAACATTACAAGACAATCAATGTTGTAGTCAAATACATTAAATAACATCACAAAGCCACTTCCACATCTCCGTTCTTCACTAAACTGTCCATCAATTCAGCAACCAGGGAGGATTTCTGACTTGAACATGTTTGACTCCCCTCCTGGTAAATTCAGCAACTCACAGAACACGGGTCGTCATCATTAGCGTCATATGTTAAGGCCTTCGACAGCTTTCCTCCTGGCTGGGTCTATGAACATTTCTTTCATTGTAAAATTCATAATTTTGAAAAGTATCCCTAATTTGGTTACCTAAAAGTGCTAAAAAGGAAAAGCTTCAGTTTATCATATCTGATTTTTATGATGTCAGATCAAGTAAGCAGAGCCCTAAACGATACCCCTGATGTGGTCTAGGCAGACTCTCCAGTATATCATTACCTGAAATGCTGTTAGAATCACTCTCACTAACAATCCTCGATCATAAAGATTATTACCATGATGCTAAAATCCCCTTAGATGCATATTGGTGGCAGATATGGGCAGGAAAAGATCCATCATGGTCATTCATTACTACTGATATTGTCTTCCAAAACCTGGACTGTCACTTTTATTTCACCTATTCTGGCCTATCACAGTGTTTGTAATGGGAGCATTTACAAGTTTTGTTTTCGCTTCAGTCAATGAGAGAACGATTAGATTTTTAACACTGACAAGCAGAAACACAGATTGATGGCAACACGTGAGCCTTCTCCTGCAATAAACAAACAGGCTTTCAGTGTCTGTACGAGGCACTATGTTTCCAAAAGAAATTCAAGTTCTGAAACAGCTCTCAAACATGAAACAGATGAGTGTGATTGCTCAGCAGATTTTTCTCCAATCTCTCGGAGCCGCTCTGTTTCTAACGCAGGCCACATGTTCATGCTTGTTATAGAGGAATTGGCAGTCCGTGTCTCAGTCGAGCAGCTTTTAGTTTCTCCACTTTGATCTTGGCTCTCAGTAGTTCCTCCTCCAGGTCCTGTTTCCTCTTTAGTCCCTCCCTCTTCTCCTCCAGGTACATGGCAACCTTCCTGTGATTGGCTAACACCAACTCATGCTCCTCTTTGGCCAGGTGCAGAGGTCGAAACCGTTCAGGCTCGTGGTGAGGGTAGATGTCGTTGGGGTAGAGGTCGTGGCGTAAGGGCAGCGGCGAGGAGGAGAGGGGAATGTTAATGGAGGAAGGGGTGGGAGACAGGGATGCTTCGTAATCGTGGACGCTGCCCAAGTCCTGCTCCCCCTCCTGCTCCTGGCCTCCGTCCAGCCCTGGCCCAGTGTGCGCAGAGTGAATGGGGAGGTCTGGCGGTGGTTTAACATCCTCTTCAGGGTCCAGCTGGACCACCTCATGGGGGATACTTGGAACAGCTGCTGAGTAATCCTGGAGTCCAGCCAGTGAGGAGCTGCTGCCAGGATGTTCGATGGGAGAGTTGTGTTTGCTGTATATTAATCTAAAAATGGAAGGAGAGATAAAATAAGTGAGACTGGAGTGCTTAAACATCATCGAGTGTCTACATCTTGTTTCTGTGAGGTGCGTGAAGACCTCTTCTGGCGATAACGCACACACAAAAAAAAACAATCAAAGGATCAGTTGACTAATTGGAGTAGACAAGAGGAAGTTAAGTGATTCACCAAAGTTAAAATAAACCTATGCTGGTTACAGCCTCGGAGATGCCAAGATTTCCTTGCTGTTTCACATTATTATGCATAAATACTTTGGATTTTGTTGCTGCTCGTCACAGTGAGAAAGGAGTTTCATAACATTATTCTGAGGTCTAATTTGCATTAGGTATTCTTAGTCAGGTAGGTAAAAAACTATTTAAAAAAAAAAATTAGCTTCATTTTCCTTACTTTCTGTAGCACTGAGAACTTGAAGTTCAAAACATTACTTTTAGGGTCTAATTTGTGATCTGTACTTGCATTTTTTGTTTTTTTTCTTTTTAAAATACACTAAATGATTCACCTGAAACTAACAGAACTGACAGATCAATCAATATCAAATCAAGAGGTGAGTATTCTGAATGTAAAGAATGGCAGGACAAACTGCATTTTGCTGTTGAGCCTGACGATGCAACACAGAGAGTGAAATCTGTTTGGGCTTTGGAGCTGTGAGTTCAGCCCCTCCCTTCCCTCCTCCTCTACCAGTTGAATCAGTATTACGACTACATACTGTTTTTGGAGCTCGCTAAACTCTCACCTGACTGTTATACTGAGTGTTATCCCTTCAAGTCTGTGTTCAGATGTGTGCCTGTGCTCATGTCTGTCACACTGTACCTGCGCAGAGCCTGGTCCTTCTCGTGGATGGGCACATGGTGAAACAGGTGAGGGATCATCTCCATAATTCTCCTGGTTGGCTCGGAGATGCTTGCTCTGTACTCTGGCTGGGCGTGTCTCCGCTGCATCACTTCCTGCTTGGCTGACTCCTTCAGCCTCTTGTAGAGGGTCCTGAGGCCCTGAGCGGTGCGATGGGGTCTGTCCCCTCCCAAGGCGTTGTACTGCTCAGCCACAGTGTCCCAGCACTTGTTCTTGTCCACAATGACTGCATGCTTGTTGGTGTGCTCCTCCAGGATGCGGATGTGAGGACGGACCAGCTTCAACAGGTCCAGCTTTTCAGAGAGGGTGAAGTTGGAGGAGCGAGCTTTACCCACCATACTGGACAGAAACACAGAGCTGGACGCCATCTTATAGCATAGCGGACTCACACAGACCAATTCAGGCCTATGGCTGTCACCCTTCAGTAACCACAATTGGTACTGTGGCCCCTCACTCTTCCCACCTGTCTTTTTTGGTCCCTGCTGCTGGCTTCTCTTGGTCCACGATGATAAAAGCTAACACTGGTCTAACTCCCATACATGTATCATTTTCTCCTTCTCTTCTTCTATAAATCAAACATAAGCTATGTCTAACGTGTGCATGGATTCATACACTACTCCTTGGTTCCCTCTCAGCTATGTTGCACAACAAAAACAGGCTGTGCTGCACACAATAAGAATCAGGCTTAACTAGGCCAGCCTCGTTTAGGCCCCCGCCTACCGCGGAGGGCTTTGGATGAATTCCTCCCAGCTTAGGCTGACGTAGCTAAGCCGCTTAAGCCCAGCCCGACCTACTTACAGCTGGGTCTCTCTAAACCCCAAACCAAGCACAGCACAGAGCACAGCCACGCTATCCCTATTTTATCACACATGGATGGCAGCAGAGGGTCTGTGCCCTGCACAAACGAGGAAACAGTCTTAAAACTATAGTACAGGTTATTAGGGGCCAGGAGTCTATTTTCCAAAAGTGAGTGACGCTTTGAAATAGCGCTGGCTTAACTAACTGGGTGGGGGAGGGGTTAGTGAGCGCGCTGCGCATGCTCGCAGACGCAGAGCGCTTTTATGCATTGTGTGCCGTCTACAGTGTGCACAAAATAAACCTCCACTCTGCTTCAGGAATACTGAACCATGATTAAAACACGTGTTCAGGGCGCGTGTGGAAACAGAGGGTGTGTGAGCCGTGTGTTTTCAGGGTGAGAAACAAAGGCACTAGTTGCTCTTGCAGGAGGAGGGAGCGGTGGCTCACTGATCCCGAGCACAGTCCTAATCTGCCGGGCGCTGCCGCGGCACTACCCCGCTAATTTGCATAATGCTGGACCTTCTGTCACTCAGCCCGCCCGGTTTAACATATATCTTAACTGTGTGTGTTGTTATTATTAGCCTCAGGGAGACAGTCAGGCACTGCTGAATGAGAGAGAGATGTCGCTCCGCATCACTCTTGGCAGCATCACGCGGCAGTTTATTTAGAAACTGGTAAAACACGAAATAAGAAGCATTTAAATCCTAAATTACGCCGATTCATAATTATGTAGTGAAACCGACACGGACCCCGTGTTATAATGACGGCGTAGGTAATGTTTAATAGTGACTCTCAGCATGCGTGAGAATTAAAAATAACACTTTGAGAGAACCGGGCAGGGCTTTTGTTGTGTTTAAAATGACAGGGTTTTTCTACTTCCTCTAAAACAAGGCAACTGAGTCAACAAATAAGAAGTCTGGCTTTATGCGCATTATATTTCTTGACTGAGAAAAAAATTGTAATGGAAAACTACGCATGTACAGGGAGGAATTCAATTCTCTAGGTAGTCAATTATATGTATGTATACAGGGAGAGGATTCAGCTACGTGTTTCCATACCTTTTCCTATTATTTAATATTATTGCTCATCAGTGAATTTACTACATGCCCATTCAGTGATAGAAGCTAATTCTCATTTCTCTGAATCTGTTGATTTACAGGTCTTCAGACAGCCAGTTAACTGTTTTTATTTTTGTATAGGAGGTGATCTCAGGTAATGCATGTAATAGTGAAGTAGTTACTACAAGGTGCTTTGAAGTAAGTACTACAGTATATTGGGGTTCTCCTCTTAAGGATCATTACACAACAAAAGATGGTGAAACACATCATGAGAGGGAAATGACAATTTATGACAGAGACTTTACAAGCTGTTAACTAGGTAGAACCAAAAAACTCAATGTATCTTTATATTTTCAACACACTGACATCTGTCAGACCTTTTCCCATCAATGATCTTTCCAGCTTTTGGAAGACATTTTGAGTATCAATATGGTATTACTGCGAGCTACAAATATGGGCTGGTTTGAAATTCAGCCCATATTCCACTGAGGTTCTGTTGATGTGTGATCTCCACATGACAATTCTTGAACATACTAGGTACTATCCCAGCCACAAATCTTTGTGTCTTACTTGCTGGTCTGTTGTCGTCTTCTGTGAACTCTTCCAAGCCAGCATTAGAAGGTCCTGCCTCTGCCTCATTTTCCTTACTTTCCGTTGCACTGAGAACCCGAGCCAAAGCCTTTGACAAGGCTGGAGCAGGCTGGATTTCATACTCTGTTTTAACCGGAGCTGGTGCTGCTAGACTTCTCTGGATCTGCAAGATGAGAAGAGAAAGGGAAAAAAGAATTTATAATCTGAGGAAGTTTGAAACAATGCTGGATGATGAACAAGAATGACAGGAATCCTGAGGAATTATACTGTAGTTAATAGTGGTAGTGAATAATTTACCTTTTCCAGTGCATTGCCCAAACCAAATTTAGGGGTAAGGTGCTTGGATACAGCCACAGGACATGACGTCAGTGCTCCAGGAGGAACAAACCGGGGCTTTTTCACTGCATTACCCAAGAGCTGGCTGGGAGCTCCTGAGCGTCGCATTCTTCTTTTAGCAACCCACAACAATCTGTCTCCTAAAGACAGAAAGCTATGAACATCAACACAATAATAAGTATATTATCATGATAATTAACTCAGTGGCCCAGAAACACACCATTTTCCTCATTTAGTTCAGTGTTGGTGGCCCTTGTCCACAACAAAAAGATTTAGTTACCACCACTACTACTGGTGTATACATTTAGAACAGCTTAGATATGAGAGAGTACAGGCTTTCTAATACTTAGAATTAGTGAGTAGTATTAGCGTATTTCATGAGAAATTAATTCATTGCAGCTTTGATACACAATTAATCACTTTAACAACTTATTATACACATAACTTACATCACACACTGTCTTTGCTGCATCTTCACAAATAAAACTAAAACAAATTTCTCTCATTTCCTGTCACTATTTGATTTATATCAAGACACCGCTTTGGATCTGATAGCTTGTGATGGACATTTAACATTTTATTGACGGTCAGTAAAGTTAAATGATTTGTCGCTAACGTTACCGATTAATTAACAGAAACGTTTCTATAAATGTAAGTTAACTTTTAACGTCAATCCCAGTCCCAATAGAGGGCTTTGTGCCCCTAAAAGTCTCTCACCCGCTAACTACAAATGGCAGGATAGCAAGCTAACTTTAGATAACTCGCTAAACCGTCGCTAACAAACACTGCCAACCGGTTTAAACTCAGCTGTAATGTCATGTTTGATAATGTGCGACAGCGTATCATACATAACTTACCCGGACGAACTAAAGGTTGGATCAAAGCGTTTAAAATCACAAACTGTCACTCAATTCCCCACAAAAGTCGTCTTGTTTTATATTTTCTTCCCTTTTTCTGTTGTTTCTCCCGCTGAATGGTTTGATGAACGTGATTGGTCGACATCCCGGCAATGGGTGTGGTCAAAACGAATGGGGTGCGTTTGATTTCCAACGTCACAGTAGTTGACTGCCTACCTCCATAGACGCTGCCTCCCACTCGAACTTCCGCAACCCGAAAATCCCTGACTTATAAATCGAGCTCACCTTGCACTTCACCTCTTTAATAACGCCAGATAAAAAAACTGGTAGAGGAGATCCATCCATCCATCCGTCGTCAACCGTTTATTCTGCGTAAAGGGTCGCGGGGGGCTGGAGCCAGTCCCAGCTGACATCGGGCGAAAGGCGGGGTACACCCTGGACAGGTCGCCAGTCCATCGCAGGGCCACACATAGACAGACAACCACTCATGCTCACACTCACACCTAAGGACAATTTAGGGTCACCAATCAACCTAGGCCGCATGTCTGTGGACGGTGGGAGGAAGACGGAGCACCCGGAGAGAACCCACGCAGACACGGGGAGAACATGCAAACTCCACACAGAAAGGCCGGGGCTGGTAGTGGAGATATATTGAATTAATTTACTTTAATTTCAGAGGGAACTATTGTACATTAGCTTTTAATGAGCATATACAATCCAAGACAAGTCCATTAATTAGCTTATATTAGCTACACTAGCAACAACATAGAAATGTAGCCTCCATGTTCTGGTAACAATAATATAAAGAGCCGTTCTGGTGCATGTGTACTTGATACACAACTACATTTTGCAACCCTTTCATGCATGGATTAGTAAATCACAAAGTAATATTTTTTGTGTTTATTTTTACTTTTAAACAAGTGAAAAAAATATACCTATAAACTTTTTTCCCCCAATAAATTTTATTTTGAAATGTGTCCACTGCAGTGGACACCATGCATCTAAGGCATCAAAAGTGATTCAGTGGAATTCAATATAGGTCCAAAAAACTGTAACATTTCCTAAAAGCAAGTGGTATAAATACACATAAAGTTATTCAAGTGCAAATGATATTATGATTTCAAATGAAACATACAAAATAAGGCTGAATCTACATAGACAGAATATACCCTTGGGCAGATAACATCCACTGAAGTGGAGGGATGTATTTTCAGTCACAGAACAAAATGTATGAATAAAAGGAATTTACAGTTATTGGTAAGATACTTGGTGCATCACCACTTCCCTTTCCTATTATGACGCAGATCAAAATGACATGATGATGAGATGTAAAATATAATAATCAAATGGAATGTTTTAGGGGTCCGCCACATGGTGGTTGTGACATGGTATTATAACTTAAATGCTCAAAATAGCTGTCCACTGGGGTGGACATCATTTACATTTAGCTGATGCTTTTATCCAAAGCAACTTACAATTGCTATAGATGTCAGATGTCACACACCTCTGGAGCAACTAAGGGTTAAGTGTCTTGCTCAGGGACACATTGGTGGATGGGTCACAGTGGGGAATTGAACCCGAGTCTCTCACACCAAAGGCATACAGCTTATCCATGCACCATCACCACCCATGCATGAAAGGATTAAGAAGTTTTACATTCATGTACGTAAGTGAACATCTGAATGCACAACTTTGTTTTTACATTGGGGTATTCCTCTTTTTCACTGAAGTAAAGGATCTGGATACTTCTTCCACCACTGAGTCTAACAGAAAGGGAAATATAAGAATATAAAGAGACTGGGATGAGTTCAGGGGTTTGGGTTGCTCTTTGATTTCTGTGGTCTGTGTCATCTGATGTCATGCAGTCTGTAATCCAATCAGGGAGGGAGAGAGTGTAATCCATGTTAATCCCACATCCAGAGAGAGAGAGAGAGAGAAACCCAGGACAGGGTGGGTCATTAAGACAGGCAGACACAGTAAGGACAGCAGCCATCTCTGAATACAGCTTTATTGGTAAAGCTGCAGAATGTGTCTGAGTTCTGTTCTGAGTGTGAATGCCTCTTCTCGTGTAATTATATCTGTCTCTCTAATCTGGTCTGATACCGTCTGACAGCTGCCTTCCTGTGTCCTGGACCCTCGTTGTCAGGGATACATCTCCACAGAGACGCACTCCCAAAGGTAGGGGAGGGCTTTAATGGAAAGGAGACCCTCACTCTGATGGAGCAACAAGCTGAGAGAGTGAGAGAGGATGAAGAAGGAAAGACCATAGTAGCGGAGAGATAAGAAGGAAGGTCAGCTGTGGGGGAAGAAGAGGAGTGGAAATCAACAGAAGGAAGAAAGAAGGAAGAGCTGGATGAAGTGAAAGTTATTTTGTGAGGTAGGAATATTATGGTCAAAGTTAATAATTAAAAAATGAAGACACAAATGAGCCAACACTATAGCAAGATTTAAGTTTCATTCCAAGCTTTTCTTCTAATGTTTTTCTAAACTATCTGTGTGGTTGCAGGATGGGCTATGACCTGGAGAGGTTTGTTGGCTATGTGAATGAGGGTCTTCTGTGCTGCGTGTGTCGAGACGTGTTGGAGCGCCCCCTCCAGGCGCCCTGTGAACATGCATACTGCAGCACCTGCATCAGCAGCTGGCTGCTCCATCACCACTCCTGTCCCGAGGACAGACTGCCACTGGATGTGGGAAGCCTTAAACCACTGTACAGGTCTGTCTACGTCTCTGCTGTTATTATCTCCTCATTGTAACAGTTCATTCTTTAGTTTCACCCTTTCATTTTGCTATTCAGTGGGTTCCACTGCTCTGTTTCTGCGCTGCTTGTTTTTGCCTTGCACGACAGGTACATGCGTAATGACCTGACCCGTCTGCAGATACGTTGTGTGAATGCAGGGCAGGGCTGTGAGGTGGTCTGCTCTCTGGAGAGCCTGCACACACATGAGGATGAGTGCGAGTTTGCCTTTATATCCTGCTCAAACCCAGGTATGAAACATCCCACTAATCGCTCATCTGATTGTTATGATTTGTTTATCTGTAGTGTTTGTAGTGTTAAATGGTTATCCATGTGGATGTGTGGGATATGAAGGTAATGTGACACCTGTGAGTGTGCGTGAGAGAGCAGCAGGTGGCTTTTTTGTTGTCATGGCTACCTTCCAAACCAGTGCCCCTATGGGACTGGGTTCAGGACTGGAAGCTCCCACAGATCTCACACAGAGTGCATTCAGCTTCAACTTCCCATCACTCATTAATGAGCGATCTAACAGTGTGTATGTCCTGTAAATACAAGCAATGTGGTCCCAATGTGACTGTGACTTGTCATTGGCAGGTGGAGAGTACATATGTTACCGTTGTGGTAGGTACAGTTAGAGAGTGTGTGCATGCAGTGTGGCTTTTTTTTGCAGTGTTTAAGAACTACAGGCACTGACATACAGTTTTACACAATATTTAACCTGGTATTTCTGGTGCTGTCTATGACTGCTGTGATCTGTGAGAAGTTATTACGTTTGGTTAAAAATGAGTCCTAATAAGTGTAGCAAGGAGTATAAAAGCTGGCATGATATATATTAATATATATCTATATCTATATCTAATTATATATGATATATATATATATATATATATATAATTAAATATAATTGAAGACTCCTTCCTGTGCAAGTACCTTGTAAAAGTAGTAAAATGTACTTTTACTTCCACTAAGTAGAAAGTAAATTTATGAGGATTTACCCTTGAAAGAATGTGAGCATATCCTATTTACATTTGCAATTAATTTAGAGCATTTCACCTTGTAACACAATCTGAGACAGCTTTATTATAAAGACACATCAGCCACCACTTTTAAAAGCACCTGCTTCTTAATATTTGTGATGCGGGACAATATCTGACCAATTGTTGAGATCTTAAAGTGTTACTTGAATAACTTTCAACACAAGTAATCTATATAAGTTATATTAAAGTACTTAAGAAATATTTTGGTAGTATTTCCACCCCTGTGTATACCATTATGACTTGAAATTATTTATTTAAAGTTGTGTCTGCAAACCAAATTTCTCTTTATTTTGACTCATATTTTGGAAGACATATATACATCTAAATATAAAATGGGTACATGGTTGACATTACCATCTCTGTGCTCCTGTCCCCTCAGGTTGTCCTGTGCAGATAGAGAGGCGAGGGTTGGAGGCTCACCTGTCTGAATGTAACTTCCGCAGCAGAGAGTGTCCCAACGGTTGCGGTCTTACCCTTCTCTCCATTGACCAATCGCAGCATAACTGTGTAGCAGAGCTGCGCACCGAATTGGAGATGCTCAGGTATGTATGTGTGTGCGGTTATGAAAAAGCCTTCACTCTCTCCTAATGTATTTGTTTTGTAGATCATCATTTTGTCTCATTGAATATTCACGGCAGGGCAGATATGCTGTGCAAGGTGGAGGAGGTGAGGCGAGAGATGGAGTCTCGGTTGGACTCACAGAGGAGACACATGGTGCAGAAAGAGTCGCAGCTGAAGAACGAGGTGGAGGAGCTCAAGGTGACCTGTCAGTCCTTGTCATGTATCTAACTCCTCAGTTTTTAAGGTAACAACAAGAGGACTTAAGTAAAGATTTGAGGTACTGGCACGTCAATGAAGTTAAATACTTCAGGTTATTCTTGAACCCTGGATACAAATACAGAACAGGTTATCTCAAGGTTCATTTAGTAGCGAGTAGCTGTTCTAGAGATTTTGGTCATTTCACATGATCTTCATCAGTATTTTCTTGGACAGTTTTTTCTGAGCACTCTCATCCATGTTGTCTTAAAAGTTGAGATTCAATAGAAAATTATTAATAGAAAAGTATTTAATAAATACTGTTAATGACTATCTCAAAGCTTTCTCTACAGCCAAGTCTATGCCGTGAACCACGTTGACACATGTTAGTAATCTTGTGTTTTCAGGGTCAGTTGTCCCTTGTGATGTGTGACATGCGAGCCCTGTTAGGAGCAGAGCGTCTGAGAAGACAGGAGCTGGCAGAGGCGGAGCTGGAGAAGAGGGAACTGTTGGAGCTCCTCAGAGACCTGCAGCCAACCAGGAGTCCACATCCTGTCGAACAGGCATCCAGGGACGAGCATCAAGGGGGCCAGCAGACATCTGGTTGGGAGTTACACACGGAGCTGACGCGACACCAGCAGAGGGAGGCGTCTTTACATGCCTCCAGTCTATCACTGCATTCAGCCCCGGCCATAAATATATTGGGTCCACCTCCTTCACCTCAGCTGGGAGAGGGGGTGCGCAAGGGCGGTACCAGGAGCCTGACTCTAGACTGCATCAAGAGGAAGAGCAGGGAGGTGACTGTCATCTGAGTAGACTGGATTGTTTGGAGATTAGCCAAAACCAGAAAAGATTTAATCTTTTTTTTATATATATATTTGGCAAAGTGACAACAAGAGTTTAGTAATTCAAGTTATTTGGATCAAATCAAAGTGTAAATTCAGTCTGCTGTGGAATGAACCATGTTGTGTTTGAAAGGTACTTTTTGTGTAATTCTACAAACTTAACCCTTTCATGCATGAATTATGACAGCCTCTGTCAGGATTTTTTTCCTATGTGTTTTTATGGCTCTTTAGGCATGAAAAATAAAATTAGAATTTCCTTTTTTTTTAAACACACATTTTTCAAGTTTTGTACATGTCCAGTAAGGTGGACAGCATGCACATAAGGTTTTAACTGAAGATATATTTATTTAACAAACCAATAAATTAAATGATATATTATGTAAAAAATATAATTTTAATGCTGTTAAACTAATGTGGTCACATATTTTAACATATTCTAATACTGTTTAATGCAATGCAAATACGTTGAACCTCACTTTTAACTCCATCACTGCCACTAGTATTATCCTTACTTGATTCTGATGGAATTGGCTCCACTGTCCTGAATTCTTTTCTATCACTAAATGTTACTCACATAATGGAACTAATCTGCAGAAAATATTGTTTTTCTTACAAAAACTCCAAGTGTAGCATAAATCCATTGATTTACATCCAAAAAGTTAGTGCACATGAAGTATTTTCAAGAAAAACAAAGTCTCAGTAATAGTTATTTGTAGTTGAAATATAACGTTAGCCAGTGATGCACAATGTCCAATTTAGTGGACAGATGATTAATCGTAATTTCACAATCATAACACAAAATCAATACTTGGAAAGTTTAAGAATTGTATTACTCCTTAGTTGTTAGTAGATGTTACCATATTTTATTTACCGGGAGGGGTCTCTTGTAATTGGAGGAATTGCAAGATTTACCTGAGCTGCTCCGTTTTCCCGACTGTCTGTCGGCCATCTCGGTTTTGACGAATTTAAGTTGCACTTACAACGGCTATCCAGATGGTGGCAGTGTATGGCATGACACACTAGCGTCCACTGTAGGGGCTGATGTGCAACTACACTATCAGAACCTCTGCCCATTCAAGTAAATGGATTTTGAATAGCTGTCCACTGCAGTGACCACTATGCATGAAAGGGTTAATTGATCTTTCGACAGTAGGCTTGTGTGAAACAGAATTGACATTCATTTATATTGTAGGCTCACCCATGATCATTTCTGTAAACATTATCATAGTGTAATGTCTCTTGGATTTTGTAATAATAAGATTTAAAATAAAGAGTCACTTTAAGTAATTTTTGGACCAAAGTATAGGTTTCTCATTAATGATCCACCTGATGCAGAATTATCTGCTTAAAAAAAGGAATACAACATTTTTGAAGTCTAAGCTTGCCTATAATGTTAGAAAGTTTGGACTCACAATGTGTAATCTTTCTAATTGGTCAGTTTAAGATATAAAATACAAGGAATTAACTAATTAAGTCTTCATCAAGACTACAGGACTGAATGTATCACTATCAATGTAATATTAAACACTAGCATGGTTACCTGGATGTCCTGGTGCTGCAGTTGGCAATTCTGACTTGAGGGTAATTTTTGTACTTTTCAACCTGGACTTTATTTTCCCATGTTTTTGTGTCTTATGTGACTAACTGAGACAACATTTTTTTAAATTGGTTCAGTATTAAGCAAATGCGCTGCAGTCGGCAACAGCGAGACAGGGCGGCAAAGTAATCGGGGCACAATTGCCCCATCAAAGTAAGGCCACCAAAGTGCTTGTTTTTGCCACTGACAGGCTCAGATTCTTATTATAAGGGTCAACATTGTGTAAAATGATCCCTACAGAGACAGAACCTTTTAAAGAGGAAGATCCTTTTTGTTTAACCAGAAACAGTCACTATATCATTCTCGTCAAAGCCACCATTGAATAAAAACAGTAACTTTTCCAGGTCCAGCTTGAAAAGTAGTTTTTAAGTTAAGTACGATATTTTGGGTTCAACTTTGGCTGTACATATTGCACCTCAAATACATCTTTTGTCACCACTTTGACTCATTAAACACAATGAACAACTTCTAAATAATCTTTTAAAAACAGGCTGCAGTGCAGTTTAGAATTTTTATACTAAATTCTTGTAACTTGGAGGACCTTTAATGTTGTGTAATTTTGGTCCTTCAGTGGTGTTGAAAAAAAACATTGGTTGAGATTTCACTTTTTTATAATACAGGTATTAGGTGTTTAAAAAAAATCTTGTTTGCTGAAGCATATGACAGATGATTGTCATCACTGTCTGCGTTACTTAATTATTTCATCTGGTGTTTGTTCAAAAAACAAGTGTAAGCTCGGTTTATTGGACCTTTATTCTCTGAATACAACTCATGATAACAAAACATAAAACATCAACTCAGAGTCTGTACGTCATTGTGACAACACCATCCCACCACGTTTCCGTGAAGACAGTAATATCCTGATTGGTCCATATGCTGCCATGATAGGCTACAGTCAGTTCCCAGGTGAATTTACCTCGTGAAGGAGCGCACATGTCTGCCCCTCCCACCCCCACTCCCTCCCCCACCGCTGAACTTGCTCCCCTGAGATCCTCGGCCTCCACCTCCCCCACCGCCTCCTCCGACATTGCCGCCGCCGCCGCCGCCGCCTCCTCCACCGCTAAGCCACGACAGCCCGGCGCCTCCTCTGCCCCGTGGAGCTCGGTCCCGTGGGGCCAGCCGATACGCACCTAGCAAACAGAGATGGAGGAGAAAGAAACAAAAGCACGACATTTTCAGTACAGTGTGCAAAATAGAGCTAAATCAAGCAAAACTTGTGTGTGGGTGTACACTTCATACTTGCGGGAGGTTGTCTGGAGGGCAGTGGCCCACGTGTGAAGTTGCTCTGGCCTCCGCGGGGTTCACTGTAGGTTCCTCTGTGGGTGACAGCAGGAACCTGTCCACTCCACGATGAACCACGGCCTCCGTCTCTGCGAGCATAGTTACCTAGAGAAACAAAAAGAGAGGATTTATCTCCCTCTACTGGCCAACAAGTGGTTCTGACCTGCAGCATGTACAAACCCCAATCTACTACTAAATACACTGTCCAGTAAACTAACAGTTTGACAGACAAGAAAATCTTATTCAAGGTCCACTCTCTAGCATAGCATGACCTCAGTATAGTACCCTCATCATGTGCAGTGTTTCCCATACAATCATTTATTTGTGGCGGCCCTCCACAATATCTACTCTGACCGCCACATAGTGATTTTCTATATTTTTTTTTTACCAGGCCTATTTAAAATCGTATTTTATTGCAGAGCGCCACAGCGCACATCCTGTCTCACATCCCTCTCTCTCTCGCTCTCTCTCCCTCATGAACACAGCTGCACAAAACTGTCCAATACAATGCTTTCAATGTCGAAGAAAAATTTATTAGCAAGCATGTAAGGAACCTAGCTAATAAGGAGAGCTAAGTTAATGTTAGAATACAGCTGGGGTTTTGAGGCAAACATGCTGTATATAGCAAGTAGTCAATATCGACTGCATTTTTTAAAAAGCTGGTAAAGAGGATCAGTTACAGTATTCACCAACATCAAAGGGACAGTCTGGGCAATTATTGTAAACACATTGGCAATTTTGAACAGTGTATTTGAAGACTGTATCATATTAACTGAGGCTACAAGTCATAAACAGGCCTGTATTTTATTTTTCCCCAATATGATTGTGTGTGTCTGTGTGTACGTACCGGACAGCAGTACACCTTTAGGTTGCGGTGGAGTGAAAAAGCGAGTCTGGCTGTGGAATGTGCCTCTGCCTCTGTTGCCAGTGAACAGTCCTCTGGTGGGGGGTTTGGGTGAGCTCTTGGGGGGGCGTTTAGGGGGCAAAAGTCCAAGAGGCGTCGTAATGTCTTTAAACTCTGCTGCCACAAAGTCATCCACGTGCATACTGGGAGGACGGGAGGTGTTCTGTTTGCGCTGGCGGAAGATATCGTGCGGTCGGCAGAGATTCTGTCCGAACCCTCCTCGACCACCACGGCCGCGAGGAGCAGCCATGATGTGGGCTCTCTTAGCAGGCTCAATGTAATCTGATTTACCGCTGCAGAGACAAACGTCACATGACATCAAGTCATTTGCGTTAAAACAAAACTCAGTATGTTAGTTCTCAGTTCAAAGAATAGATTTTTTTAATTACAAATTTAATACGCAACCTAACACAGTAAATATACCTTGATGTAATAAACGTCTCATGCTTGTGCTTGCCCAGTCGGAAACCTTTGGTGGTCTTTGTGTGACCAGGAGAGGAGGGCTCAGACAGGAAGGAGCGCTCTAGCTCTGCCTTCAGGTCCAGTTCTGGACAACATTCCTGAGCGAGACCCACCAGATCCACCTTGACCTGCCACACAGATATAGTGGTAATCAGTGTCCAGCCACATACATACAGACAGACATAGGGCTTCATAACTGTACATGATCAAGCTTTCATTACACAATTACAGATCAGCAAAGTTGGGAGAGAAAGAAAGAAACATTAAAGGTATATTTGGTAAAATGAAGCAATAAATGCAGTTAAAACTACTGTCACTAAAATTGAGGGTTAGGAAGTCTGGTCTGAACATGAAAATGCTTTAATTCATCGGGAATCAGTGTCTAACATGTGGACACATCTCTGGTTTAAAACAGATTTTCACACTGTACAGACCATGTCTCAAGGCTGTCACCATAGTAATGTGGCAATTATGCAGTAATTATTTATTATTTGAATTTTGTAAGAATAAGAATAGTAGCACAGTGTAACATTCTGGCTGCCGGCATTTTGACCAAATACTGCACTGAAGAGAAAATAAGATCATTTAGCAAAAGAAATCTAGATAATAATATCTGCTATTGTGTCTTGAAAGTGCATGTAAACATACACACTTACTGTATCAATGTCTGTTTCTATGTCATCAGTGTGGAAGGGAGAGAACCACAGAGTCTTCAGCTGCTCATCCAGAGCTTCTGACAGAATGAACACTGTCCTATAGACAACACATAAAGAGGCATGATATACTTATATATACTCGGTTCCTTTAATCTTCCACAAAATTGATGCAAGAGGCACATTTTAGTGAATCATCTGTACAAAGTTTTGTTCTAGTTCCAGAGAAAGATGCAGGTAATGTAAGTCATGTTTACACCATGTTGTTATGAATATATTAAGTTATTCTGTTATTTTAAAGATACATTTTGCTGGCTGCGATGTTAACTGCCTCAGTGTGACTCATGATGGAATGAAGACAAAACTGATAGAGAAAAAAATGTTTAAATGTCACATGATGTACATAATTTTGTACCTGTGATTAAACTGGGCTGCAAGCGTCTCAGGTGCTGGCAGAGTGGGCTCAGTATCAGCTGCAGGAGGTGTGTCTGTGGCCGTCTCTAGCGTCTGCCTCAGAATAATCACGTTCTCCAGCATAGTCTCCAATGTATCATCTTCCTTACATAGTTTCTACAGACAAACACATAGACACACAGTTACAGAGTTAAGTTACATACCAAGGCAGCGTCAACCCTCACTTTGCAAATATTATACATGGGTGCATGATTTGTACCGTAATCTGTTTCTCTAAAGTGGGGAGCGGATGGGACTCGGACTCTTCCCACTGCAGCAGAGATTTCATCTCGGAGCCAGACAGCAACCGTGGAGGAGTGAAAGCACACTCCTCGCTGGACCCCTGGCCCTCCTCTACACACTGGATTAGAACAGAGATCTCACAATTAGTCTCACAATTATTAATTTAGACACACCTCCCACATGCCTAGGAATTCATACTTACAAATAAGCAGGTCTACAGTTACATTGACCGTATATACACTTTTTGTACCTATGGTATTTACTTCCTTGCAAAACAAGAACTGGCCTAAAAACCGGGTACTGACCATTGTTTCTGTGTTGACGATCTGTCTGAGGAAGTCGAGCAGAGCCGAGAGCAAATCTGCTGAGTCCTTGTTGAAGGCGAACACCAATCTCTTCAACAGCGAGTACAGATCTGCACCATGTTTCTTCAGAGCGCTGAAACAAAGATTAAGTGCACAAATATAAGTCTTGATTGACCATGAAAAGGACATTTTTCCTTGTCTAAAGAGAAGACATTATAAGCGGAGACAGCGGTAATGCCAAGAAACAAGAAGAGAGCGTTGCCATTTACACTTTGAGGTGGTAGAGTCCATAGTCGTGCTCGGTGAGGAATGTCAAAGTCCTGATACAAGTGAGGAGGAGTGGGAGACTGCTCTCTGAATTCCCCAAAACCTCCATCAAAGCGTTGCAC